TGTGCTGCCTGACGCCTCCCAATCTGCTGTAGGCCACACACAGAGGCTTCCTGTGCCACTTGGAGCACATGTGCTGTAAATTGGCTACCCCTGGATTAAGGTGCTTGGTCAGCAAAGCTTTTAAGTACATGCTTTATTTGAAGTATGTATTTAGTTCATTCTCATTCAGTAAGGTACATGTTAAGATTATATGGTGAGCAAGTGGACTTTTCCATGTGTTTTAAAGTGATGCTCATACTTAAGTAGTTTGTTGAACTGGACATAAATGTTTGGTCTCCTAAATATATTTCTAAGCTCATCTGGCAGCTTGTGTTGTACCAGCATGTACTGTTAAAGAACTCATGTTCCTTGTCTCCAGCAGCCACTACAATTGTCTTGGCTGGCAACATCCGTGACAAGAACACAGTTGTGAAAGTGTTACAGACTTGTAAAACTTGAATAATTTATACTAGTCTATATAAAAAAAAAAAGCTGCCAAAAATGAGCTGAAGCAAAATATGTCCACTTGGTATATTTCTGCATCTCGAGTATTTAGAATAGGGGATGGCAACCTGTGGCCCATGGAGTCTTTGGTTTCAGCCCATGGAGCTGTAGCTTCAGCAGCATTTCATGGTGCAGGACTCTCCCTGTTCTGTGCTGGATTTGGCCATCTGGGGCTGTGACAGAGGGGTGTTCCCTTGTATTGCATGATAGTCAGGCCACATAGGCTTTGGCTGAGGAGGACTTTTGCCACACTTGTGTTACCCACAGCTAAGCAGTGGGGAGGAGCAGTGACAGCAGCGGGGTTCTAATGCCCACCTGTTTCCAATCACAGCTAGATTATTCTAGACACCTGCCAGCAAAAATTGCCAGCCCCTGATATGGAATTCCAACAGCCTGCGCCAGATGTACCCAGTGATCTGCCAAAGGCCCTGAAATACACATCAGAAACAGTGCTGAGACCCAAGCACTGCACTGTGCTTGTTATGATACAAACTTTTTCACACAGCTTGCTGCCAACCCACGTCTCCATTCTCTTCATTGTCAGCCAGTATCTTGCTTGTCAGGCATGGTGATCACTCAGGGCACCCCTTAGTTAACTGGTAAAGACTCAAACTATGCCAAGGCCCCTTTGCCTGCCTAGCTCCCCCTTCCTTCTAATGCCTTCCCATTGGCCTGCCTCTCTTTAGACTTAATCCTGCAAATCGTTCCATCATAGGTGCAAGGCCCAGGGCCCTCACTGGCTAATGCAGGAAACCTGAGTTGGATTTGAGGCACAGAGTTCTGTCCTGCATTTCTTCTTGGTACTGAGTGATGTTATTAGCTGAATAATCCTGCTTAGTCTAGGAATTACTAGAATTATTTCCATTTTTTTCTGGAAGTTAATCCTGAAAATTCACATCTCATCCTTCAGCTGCTTTCCTTCATTTGATAATGCATTCAGAGTGCTGTTCAAGGTAGCAGGGTTATTGTGTGTAATTCTAGAAGCGGGAGATGCAGATATTTATTACTATGTGAATATATGTAATTCCAAATATTTGCTGCTGTGCACATATGTTAATGATATATAGCCATTCACTTTGGCTCCTGGTTCTGTGACTGTAATGATTACAACTAATTTTGTATTTTCTTGATGTGATAAAACTCCTGTACAAATGAAATTCCTCTCTGGGGGTACTGTTAATTCAGATGCTAATTATGGGAATGTAGGAGCAGGCCCATGTAGTTTGGTATTGGCTTACAGTAGAGTAAACTTAGCTATTCAGCAAATGGAAATTGTCTATTGTGCAAGCATCTTTTGCCAATGCTTTTTCTTAGGGGCCTCAGTTATTGTCCCTGTTCCTGCTGTGCTGCAGCTTCCTCCCCCTACTCAGAGTGGTGCAGTAGGGGCAGGAGCAGGAGGGGGAGTAGCCGCTGGAGGTGAGGGGAAGCTGGCTTGGCCTGGTAGGGAAGGGCCCTTTGCAGCTGGCTGAGGCTCCATGACACCCCTGCCTGGCCTGGGCATGGGGAACTGGGAGCAATCTAGCTGCTCAGCCCCTATGGCTCCAGCCCAAGCTACAACCCACTGGGAAGGGCCTGGCCCCTGTGGCCCAGCCCCTCTGCATCCACCCTCAGCAGCACCGACAGGCTGGTCCAGAGGGGAGGGAGGTAGAAATAACCCCTCTCCCTGTTCCCTTTGCCTTAGGGGGTGATGCCAGCCAGCATCTGGCCACGGCCTGCCCCTGCTCTGGCTAGAGAGCAGAGGGGCAGGGCCAGCTCTGCTGTCTGGAGCAGACAGCATAGCCTAGCCCAGGGCTGAAAAGCATGCTGGGATGCTGGGGGACTCTGGTTTAACTGAAACCAAGAAGGGGTCTAGGACAGAAGTTGCATAAACCAGTTTGACCCAAATCAGTTAAGTCTGATACTACATTCAACCAGGTTTATCTTAAACCAGTTTCAGCCATTTTGAAACTGGTTTATGTGCACTGAACTCCTGTTCTGTTACAGGTTTAAACCAGTTTCTGATCACTTAAACTGGTTTATATGTAACTCTGTCCCTAGCCTTCGTAGGCACAAGACATCTTTTTGTCAGTCAAACAAGGAACAATTTTTGTAACCGTTCAAATGTTTAAAACTGACAATATGAGGGCTCTCCTTGGTGTAACATGGCTTAGGCACCATGGCTTATACCTAGGGCCACTATCTATCCCTTTTGTAAGTATGATTATTTTACCAAATTTACTCCTAAGTAATGTTATACAGCCTGTACTGTGGAAGGACAGACACCCAAGCTTTCCTTTTTCATGGACAGTATCTTTTTGCTTTTCTCTTTCCTACTGAGTATCCTGCTTTTCTAAAATAATTTGTTGCATGTTTCATTTACAGCTTAAGTTAGAGCAAAGAAAAAAATTAGCCTTTCCCCCCTGTGATTCAGTACAATTTTGAACTGGATGATAAAAGCCTGGTCATTGAGAAAATGTTGTGTTGGACATGACATGACCTGATTTAGATGAAATATGTTACTGCTAAAGCATTTAATGCTGAAAGGAGCTACTATGGCCATCTACTCTGAGGCATGCATATGGGGAAGACAACTGGGTGGTGAGCAGCACAGGTGCAACACAAGGAAAGAACTGAGTCTCAGAGAGGAGCAAAACTTTCTATGCGTGTGCGCACACACACGTGGGCAGATCTAGAATTTTGAAAAGGGGTGCACATGGTGAGGTGCACCATCACACATAGAAATAACACATTTTTCTCCAGTTAAAAATAAACTAGAAGCTTTACTAATATTTTAGGGGCCTAGGGCTGTGTTGGCTTAAGAATGAAGCAAAACAAATATAACTTAATTGAAATAAATTAAAAACAATCTGCAGGGATGTGATATAGGAGCTTCTTTATCAGGAGCAGCGAACAAACAGCAGAATTGCAGGACAAAGGATACGTTGATTCGTGAAACATCAAGACCATTAAAAAGAAGAGAGGGTTGTTAATGGTTCTGGAATCAAGAGCTTAGAAAGGATCAGGTAGATTATAATGAGCCATGAAATCAGTTGACTCCCTCATGCAGACGTGGAGAAAAAAAAAGCAAAATTCCCCTTACTTTAAATTTGTCACGCCGAACCCAGCACACACCCAGAAGAGGCAGCATGTTAGTTGCACCCAGCTTTCCCAATGTTTGTAGAGATGCTGTACTTTAGAGGGGCTTTTTTGGTGCTTTTATCTAATAGCTGATTGAATTACCTTTAGCTAAAAGTGCCAAGAAGCCCTGCTGAAGCGCCTGATCTATACAAAAGCTGTGAAGCCAGACTGAAGTAACCCTCTGCTGTTTCCGGTAAAGCATGGGGTTTTTTTTTCTTCCATGTCTGTCAGCACCCTGTTTGACTAGAAATGCTGCTGCCACTGCCAGGAAGTTGGTTTTAAATTTTGGGTGGAGCGGGAATGAAAGGGGGTGCAAGTGCACCAGTGCAACACCCCCTGCACCCCCCCCCACATCTGGTTCTGCACACTCACGTGCATGCGCACATACACGCACACCGGTGAGACTTCCTCCAATGTTACATCTGTAGTGTCCTTGCTCACTCCTTGTTCAGGGAGGAGGGGAGTACTCCCTTTTATACCTCTACATAGGTACGTAGGCTGGGCCACCATTTGGCTTATGCTGTAATGGCAAATGGCACTGCCAAGCTTTAGCTGATGTATTTCATAGGGAAAAAAACAAACCCCCCTTTAAAATTAATCTTGACTGAGACATAATCTTTAAATTAAAAAGGAATGAAAGGTTTTCTAAGCTATGACTTTTTTAAAACTAGCTGTCATCATTTTAAGAAAACAAAGCCTAGAAGTATCATTATGGTGGTGAATGCTAAATAAATTGGTGCTAGTGATGTGTTATACATCTGTATGCATACTAGCTAAAGTTTGATTTCCTCATTTGTTTTAATACTACCCCTTCCTTTCATTTTCATCCCTGTTATATTGTCTTGCTTCTCTGAGTATAATTACACATATTATCAGAACTGGCAAGACAAACACCTACAGATGCTTCATAGAGGAACCCAGCCAGTACTGATTCTATTCCCATTTCACAGAGCATGCCAAATCAGTGATGCCTGGTTGTCAGAATCCATTCCCTTTGTAAAGGCTAAACTTCACACATACTGTTTTGACAAAGTATGACTGATAAAAACTTTGGGTTGTCTCAAGCACAACAAGATACTTTCTAGAAGGTTAAGTCATCTTGGCTTATGAGCAATATCAGTAATTATTTTTCATTATCACTGTCTATAAAACATGGCTTGTCTTATAATTTTCAGTACAGTGAAACAACTTGAGAGGTTTATGTTCTCTTACATTATACTTTTTACATTAATATATGATGCTTTCTTTGATTTATGGTGTCCTTTGAACACGAAGAAGTGATTCACTCTAATTTTGCCTAGGATTATGCATTTCTTATTCATGCTCACTGGTGTAGTGCACCAAGGTTACTCTTTCAATTTTTTTTCTTTTAAACATTCATTTAAATTATTGTTTTACAGGTACCAAACAACAGCAAATAAATGTTGCTCCCTCTACAAAGTCTCTTGCCAACTGGAGATCTAGATTATCACCAACATGGCCTTCCATGGATATTAAGTCCTCCTCAGTGGCTGACATTTCGATGGGACAGACCCTGGAGAATGCAAACTTGCTTCAGATGATAAAAACAACTCTCACTGGCACACGTACCAGAATTATGGATCAAACCAATTTTTCACCAGCTCTTTACCAGGGCAGTGGTAATAGTGCATCCCAGGAGCCTGCTGAAGTTTCAGCTGAATCACCATTTAGACCATCGTCTCAAGATGCAGATGAAAAAGCTGCTGTATCAGGTTTGCCTCAACTCAGTATGTTTGCCACATTGTCCACAACACCATCAGTGACACATTCAAGTACTGCTGTGCCATCTCAGCTAATATCATTAGATACACCCTCCATTTCAAAAGAAAGCACACCAGGATCAGACATTCCTTCAACTGTTCCATCACCATCATTTTCTTCATTGGCAGTACAATCACCTCATACCATTATCTTTGCTAAGTCTACTGTGCTACCCACCAAAGTGCCTTTATCCACAGACACTGAAAGTTCCATCAACAGAGATTCAAGTAGTTCTCACGTTAGTGCAAGCAGGGGCAACTCACGAAGTGTGGGCACTGCTGTAAATCCCAGCACAGTGAATCACACATTATCAAGAAAAGGGCCCAGACTGCTTACAGGTACGACATCTCTTAATATCTTTGGATCAACGATGGTGCATTCGACAAAGACACTGGCAAGAGAGTCACCCTTAGAAAGTACTGCCTTCTTATCTTTACACACTTCTGCTCCTCTGTCAGTAATGTTATATCCATCCTCCCAACCAGTAGCTTCCAAAAGTGCATCATGGCTTCCTATGGAAAGAATGTCCTTGTCTCATTCAAGAGATGATGTGTCGTCTTCTAGAGAAAATCTTTCCAATCAGCCATTCAAAGCAGTGGTGACTGACAAAGAGAATTATAGCAGTCTAACTGTGTCACCAGAAGTCTTTAAGAATAAATCAGAAATTTACACGAATAATACTTTATTCCTCCATACTATGGATTTTCTACACACATTACTGAAAGTGACAAGTCATCAGTCTTCTTCAGCATTGACTAATGACATGCTAGGTTCTCTCAGGCCAGTATTTCTTTCACCAGCTTCTGTGAGTCCATTGGGAGTCTCCCATTCAACAGAAAATAAGTCTTCCTTCACAATGCCAAAAACATTTTTTACAGATGCACTAAACACTAGCAATGCAGTATTTCCAGCACCAGCAAATGAATCAGATTTTCTTGTTAAAAATGCCACCCTCCCCTATTCAACAGATACAATGACTTCCTTAATAACTAAGGCAAATCAGACCTCTAATATTACAGCACTTATTAAAAATGCTACAAATTATGAGAACACATTGATGTTCTCACTAGTAAATATTTCATTACCTCATTCAACAGTGTCAGCCAATCAGGTTTTTTCAAAGGAAGTAACTCATGCAGCTCCTGAAGCTAATGCCATGCTACCAACTGAGTTTGAACCACCACAACTTTCTGATGTTTCTTCAATGAGAGCAGCAGCCTATCGATCTTTTACAAGAGATACTGTAGCCAAAATATACACCAACATGGAAGCTAACCGTGTTGTGCCACACGATTCTCAATACTCCAGACCTCCTTCAGAATCGCCTGCCAGTGAACACACCACAGGAAAAACAATGCTTGAAAGAATTTTGCAAACAGAAAGCACGAGTCCTCTTACACCTGTTACATCATTGGCGACTTCCACTGCAGGCTTTTCAAAATTTATACATGCTATCATAAATACATCTGCTCTTTATAATTCTAAAACTTCACAGGTTTCAAGTCCTAATGGACAAAGTCTGGCAGATTTAATAGATAATGAAGAAAGCAATGTGGAAGCATCTACCATTGTCACTCCACGTACAGAATACATGCATCTACCACCCTTAAATAAATCTGAAGTTACCAGTGGTCAGTTTTCAAATGCAAGTTATTCAAATGCATTTACTCCTGTTGTGTCCTCAGAACTCTATAAATTGTCGCCATATGTTCCAGTGACAGAAACTACATTCAGCAAAGCCTCAACCGTCTCTATTTCAACTGCTGTCCCAGAAAACAGTTTAGATACTACAAAATCTCCAAAAGCCTCAGCTTTAGCTTCTAAATGGCCCCTTACAGCCTTGATTTCTAGTGGTTCTTCAACAAAAGAAACAGCCAAAATGGCAATAACAGAAGTTATTCCAAGCACTTCTTCATTAGAAACTGATTATCGTGGCATAGATTCAGCCATCTCGCATCTACAACAGCAAATAAATAACATTAGGAGCAAACAAACAACCATCTCTCTGACTTCAGCAACCTATACCTCTGCAACATCAAATCATAATTCTTCATTTTCACCTGTTGTTGGAATCAAGACTAAAAATTTCACAAACTTTAACCTGTATTCATCTGCTTTAGAAATGTCTACTGTTCAATATTCATCCCCTTCCCCCACTATGGTAATACCTGCAGCTCAGTCAGAAAAGCATATCAACACACCTCAAAATGTCACTAAATTGTTTACCAGCAGGGATGTTAATCTCACCTCAAAATCAGAAACATCAGTGCATGTGTTTGTGCCAGCAGCTAAGGATTTTGCAGCTAATGATACGAGCACTGTTTCTAGCATGCTGAGTTCTGATACGGCTAATGCTGAAAAAGTCTCTTCAACAAATACTTTATATTCAACACCATCTGAACTCGGACTGGCTTCTCAATTCACTGGCAACTGGACTGTTTCAGCTGATAATGAAATAGTTATCAGTGATACACAACCAACAATTTCTCCCTCTCTAGTAGTCAAATCATCCTCAAGCTCAGCGTTGATATCCAGTCCTATTACAGAAGAATACATGACTCCTGGAAATCAGAGGGACTTTTCAAATAACTCTCTTTCAGAACCATCTAGCCAGTTGACTACTATTGTCCAAAATCCAACTATATTTAGTACAGAGGCATGGCATACACATGGTACAAGTAACAATCTAGTTACAGTTCCTGTACCTAATGAAGTTACTGAGGGCGCTCCATTGCAAACACCTACCACCAATGCTTTGCAGTCAGTCATCATAACTTCTGTCCATGAATCACCAACACCACTAACTTCTGCTTTTTTGTCAACAACCAACTTTACCCATTCTGTCATTACAGTGTTATCTTCAGTGTCTCCTGGTGCAATACGTACAGTAGGAACTTCAGAAGCAAAACCATTTACAGGAGAATCAGCTCCAACTTCACCAGTGCCAACTTCATCCTTGTTTTCTCTAGGCACTGAAAACACACCCCTGCCATCTGTGATGGCATTAAGCACACTGATATCAACACTTGCAAAAAATAACACTGCCACAAAAATGACATCGATTCTAAACTCAGTAGCAACACACACAGGCTTTCCATTTGCACCAAGAAACACATCTATGTCACCCCCACGCACTGCTACTATATTTCTAACCTCTAAAGTTAGCAGAGTCACAGGTTCCACACTAGGATCCACAACACATACACCAAGACAGATAGAAACAATAGTACCTGACACCATGAAAATCACAAGCTCAGAAATCACCAAAACATCAACTCCCTACCCACTGACAATTACAGCAGCTTTGACATCTATTACAGCATCAGCGAAAACAACTAGGCTTCCTCCTACCCCAGTGGAAAGCACTTCTGCTGCTCCTGCAACTTCAAGCGCAGCTTTCGCTAACACGACTGCAGTTCCTGCCTTGGAATGCCAGCAGTCCAGGAACCTTATGGTTAAAACAGGTAAGGCTATCAGATGAGTTTGGTTTGACCAGAAAAATATTGTTTTTGTATGATATACAGTTCACAATAAGTGGAAACAATGTTTAAATGTTTGTTAATTTACTCATTAACTTAAGGGCTTGGGTCACCAATTTGGGGATTAGGTACTGCAGTGATGAGTCCACTAACAAGCCAACTAGAGAGTCACCAGAAAGTAAATGTGGACAAATGTAGATTTTCATTAATACTTCTACATGATAAAATGAGGTCCTCCAGTTCCATGCTCTGTGGTTTTGCAGACCATTGCAAGACTCTGAAAGGTTTACTTTCTTTATTATACTGTAAGTTGAGTACATAATGGTAGTTTTTTCCCCTCTGCTGCAGCAAAAGGTCTAAGTCATTGGCTAAGGCAAGTTATTGTACTAATGAGGCTTTTGACCTGTTCTGGCATGGTACATTGCTCTCCTGTATAAAGATATATTTCAAAATAGTGCTTAACATTTAATATAATTAATCTCCAAATGATGTTCTTGTTGTTATTTATGATCATACTACATCTCTAATCGTAGTACCATTTGTCATGGCTCTAAGCTTGGCTTAATGTTAAGGAAAAAAAATCTCTTAAGAACACTAAAGTGAATGGCTCTTCAAAAATCATTCCCTGACAATGTAATGGTTCACATTGATAGCAAAGGGTAGCACTACATCAGGTACCTTATTTTAAGATGTAGAAAAGGAAAGGGGAGGGGTAAAATAAAGGCTTTACAAATTCATACCCGCACAAGATGAGGGGGAGATTGGGAAGAGTAAAATCCTTGGACAGACACTAGTGTTATTGATGTGTCTGTGCTGCTAAATATCACCAGAGATGACACATTTACAACAGCTGTGTCTGCAGGAAGACAAAGCATGTGATAAGAATAAGGCATGTCTGGTCTAGGATATCCAGGATGCAGCTAAGGATACTGAGTCTTTCTGTAAATTATTTGAAAAATGCTTCAGTCTTTTCCTTAGGTTGATAAAATTAATCACAACATCCTTGAACACTTCCTCAGTGAAAGTAATCATGGGAATTAAAGGCCATTTTGGTTTGCTTTAATCCTGAAACAGAGAAAGGGTAATTAGGTCTCTGTTTATGAAAATGCAGTGTATATTCTTCCACGTGTACTTCCTTGTACTTTGAATCCTGTGAGGCAATGTCATTTCAGTCATGTTGGCAGGTTCCATTAATCTACTTTCAGATTACCTGGTCATAGTGTAATTCACTGAAAAAGACTCAGTGATTGTAGAAAGTGCTGCAGTTTTAGCCCTTGCTCCCCACAGCAACAGAAGTCTCTACTCTGAACACTGGAGAGCTCTGGGCTTGGGCTGAGCTCCTATGCAACCGCTGCATAACAAAGGGTTTCTTACTTGATTGTCACGGAACTTGGTCCAGATAGATGACTGTGATGAAAATTAGAAGGAAATAAAATCAAGAAAACAGTAACATGTTGATGTTTCAGGCTAATGTGTATCTTGGTGTTGTTCAACAGTTCTGCTTCTGAACACAAGAAGGCTGCTGATCAGTGATTCCTTAAAAGAGAATGTGACAAAAGGACTCACCCTGGTCATGCGACAGGCTTTCAACCAAAATGTCAATGCTCAAGTAAGCAAACTGAATTATATAGTTAAATTAGAAGTCTTGGCACCCAAAGGAGGTGATAAACATCAATCTTAACCATTAGCAATTTGCCAAAGTGTTGGTTTTCTTAAGGATATGAATCAAGGACAAACTAGTCAGAGACAAGCTCCTGCATTTCATCTCCCTTCCTTTAGAGTCATACAAACATACCCATGGTTTCTAGGAGCCACAAAAACAGTATTTTGGCTTTGTAATGTGCAGAACCAAGTGCCTATTGGTGGGATTGGGTGCAGAATAGAATTTAATTGATCAGCCAGTGCAGGGCTAGTTTTAAGGATGTTGTTAGCTATTGGGGTTTTGTGGAGCTGCTGCCTTCTTTTTCTTGGCTACTTCTTCCTCCCTTACTAAAGAAAAGGGCAGAGGGCAGGGAAGATGGCACATTACAGACTAACTTGTTCAGAGAGCATTAGCTTTGATAGGGTATAGCCGATTTCATCAGATGATGGCAAAGGGATGAAGAATCTGACTGCTCTGCAGGTGATACATGCCCCTGATGTCCCACTGCAGTGATGCAGGCCATTCCTGAAGCCTAGATGAGTGTGAGTGCTCAGTGTTTTCAAATGCCTGGGTCACATGAGCTGGGTGGTACTTGGCAGCTTGGTTGTTGCCTGATGTGAGATTTACACCATATTTTTTCCCTTTTGCGACTCATCATAAAAACTTGCCAGAACATAGAAGACTGGTGTTTAAAGATTCCAAAGACATTTTGAATTGGGCATGGTGAAGCACTTTGATTTCATTGCCAATGACAGATACAGAGCAAATGTCCCCCCCTCCCCCAAGAGTTATAATATTATCATTGTTTAAAAACAACAGATTGTTTTGATCATACACCCAAGTAATGACAAAACGACTTGTGTTTTGGGGGTTTATTTTGCTCTTTAAGTAATACACTTCTTCATGCATCTGAGGACTACAGGTGATATATATGATTAAATCCACACAACAACTCAGGATTTCAAAGGATAGGTTTTTATTTTAGCTGGTGTCTCCTTTTTGTGATTCAAATGGATTACATCTGTTTTTCAGTAAGATTGATATAGTGGCTTATTGCATAACTTCCTATAACCAGGAACAGCAGGCTAACTGGACAGATGTGAGTGCACAGGATTTCTTTGTGATTTTTAGTCATGCTTTTGTTGTTTAGAAAATATAACACTGATAGGGTACTTCCCTAACCGAAGCTGGCTTTTGTGTGAAAGCTCCTGACATAATCATTTACAGAGAGGTAGTTAGCTGTGTTGGTCCCAACAGGCTGCAGCTTTATTGGGCTGCTTTGTGGGACGCTCAGGTGGGAAATTTTATTTCTGAAGTTTGCAAACACCGGATGCACTGTAGGGATGTAATCTGTCTAGCGTGGAATGTACAGCACTTTTGGTTGTTTTTTTATGAAAGAAAGGTAGGAGCAGGAGAAATGCTATATGGAGTCTAAACTTTTTAGGGCCCCTATAAACTCTTTATGGTAGCTATCATTTTATTTTAAAAGGTGAAAGGGGAAGAGTCAGTTTTCTTTCTGGCATGTTGTGGAGCAGCAGTTTCTTCACCCCTTACTCCTCCCCACCCCGAAATACAGGAATGAGTACACCCATGTAGTGAGCCAAGTGCTTCCACACCTTACTACAAATCAGTTGTAACAGCAAGTCCAATAAATAGGTTGTCACTGCTGTCAGTCCATTCTCTGGTTTGGAAATGCTGTGTCTGACATTTGCTTCTCCAGTGACACAAAACTGAAGTGAGGGGAAAACAATTTTTACTGAAAGTAAGTGAGAATGACATGTTCATTACTTTAATCTAAATTACATGAAACTCTTATGTGGAGTGTAAGTCTAGACTGAAGTAGGTTGCTAGGGCCATATAATGTAAAAAATGAGGGATAGAGCTTCTTATGCTGTTAATAAGGATGCTATACACAGCTGTAGACTAGCATATGAACTATAAGTAAAGAAAAGGAACATTTACAAAAACAATGGAGGAAATACAAAATCATCCTATTCAGAATAATTGGTGGATAGTCCAGGTTTGTTGTTTGGCTCTATGATTATCAATTTCTCCTTTCCCCTGTGGGTGCTATCTAGGTCAGTGTAGATTGCAGCAGTGAGCATAGAGAGATTATAGTCCTGGGGGCCTCTGAAACTAAAGGAAAGGCAGTTGAGTCATACTGCTGTCTCTCCATAAGACACAAGGAGGGTTCCTGTACCCTTCTCCATAGAGGGCCCTCTTTGAACTGTGTGTGAAGGACACGTTTTTGAGCCCTAAGTGCAAGGAAACTAGCTTGTCTCTCAACCAGCTGTAACTTTTTAAGGTAATATTGTGTTATTGTGCTCACTTTGAAGGATGCCGGTTGATGTAAGCTCTGCCCATGGAAGAATGCAAAAAATACAGTTGTGACATTAGAGGATCAAACAATAGAGAATTTTCCCCTTATACTCTTTTGATCCTAATCCTGTGAGCCCTGATATGCGCAAGAGTACAGTGGATCTTCTTGTATGTGAAATGACTCATGTATGTCAGTGTGCAAAATATTCAATTTCTAAATTCAAAAGTAAAATTGCTTTATATCGCACCATCTGCTTCCATCCTGCCTTAAAGGAGATTACATGCAAAACCTCTAGGAAATCTGATTCAGAAGGAAAAATCCAATAACAGAACAGTTGATGGAAATAAAATAAAAGTAAAATTTCCCTCTGTGTTTTAGGTTGAAATTCTGGAACAATCAAATAACGTGACAGTTGGTTACTACGTTACACAGGGGAGGTTGGTTTTTATACCTGCTGCTGTTATTGAAATGCTTATTGCTTATGGTGTTAGCAATGCCACAGCAGACATAAAGCAGCATGTGCCAAATCTTCAGTCTGTTGCTGTACTGGCTTTGCCATGGAATCCATTGCCTGCCTACCACTTCCAGCTGAAAACAGGTAAGTAATGAAATAATCCTTTTAGGGTAATGGTTGCAGAGTTTACTGTCAATTCTGTAATAAATGCCTATCAGAAAAAAGAAAGCCCCAAATGTAAGTGTATAACTCCATAGACAAAAGTTAGCCTGAGTCTCCAATGTGACTCCCCATATACCATATTTATTCAATTCCAAGACAACCACCCCCATTTAACATGGAGGAGGAGCCCCTCCTCTTAGAATTGAGTACAGGGGCAGTGGAAGGGGCAGGCAGCTGCTACAGCTCTGGCTCCAGTTCCAGAAACCAGCAACCAGCCCCTGCCTGGGTTTGGCACTGTAGCTGCAGGTACACCTACAGCTGGGGTAGGTGTACCTCTGCACCCCACCATCTCCCCTGTACAGCCTCTCCCCCCATCTCCTCCACCCACACAGCCTCTGCTCCCCTGTCTGCCCCTCTCCCTCCCCCCTTACCCTTGATCCATGCTAGCGGGCTCCATCCACGCTGCAACCTGGGGCACTGGGCATGGCCCCAGCCCAGCCCCGTAGCAGTGATGGCTGCTATGGGGCCTGGGCTGGGGCTGTGCTCCTTGCTCCACACTACTGTCAGCATGGAGCAAAGGTAAAGGGTTGCATTCCCCCAATTGCATTCTTTATCTTCCTGCTTCATTCAGTATACACCCTCCCATTTCTGCAGCAAATAAGGAATGCATCCTGCAAATAAGGTATGGATCCTGCATACCAGGTTTATTCCAAAACTTTCCATCTACCTGAATGGCTTAAGTCAGGCAAAGTTATAAGCAAATGAAAAGTGGGTCTTGGGTATTATCAGCAGTGCAGGGAATGAATTAAAGACAACCCTCCAATAATTAAATTCTATAAATGGAAAATGATACATTTTCTATAGAATCTAATTATTGGGGGATTGTTCAGGGTTGGCTTAGATTTGAATAAATAAGGCAGTATGTGGACTGTTGTGCTAATGCAGAAAGATGAGGTCACATATTGAATTGAAGAGATATCTTGGGTGTATACAAATATATTGCAACTACCTCATAGAGGATATTATTTTCAACACTTCCCCCTTTCCAAGAAAAAAGAATTGGAATTAGTATTGTGGTTTATTATTTCTTTTCAAGAGCCAATGACTTTAAAGATTCAAGACAGTACTTATGTTTTAAGGTGGTTTTCACTTCTGCCCTAAACTTCAAGTAAGTGCATAGACAGTTGTGTTGATCTGAAAGTGTTACATATCATTGCAGAAACAGTCCCCTTTTATTTGTGTGTCAGCTCAAATAACAGTATATAATCTTTGTAGTTTATTTTAATAGTAAATCATGTATAATATTGCTTAAGAATAAGCAAGTTTTATATGATGTTATATTCACCTATTTAATTTTGTAATCTGATCTTTTTGCTGTTATGCCTTATGAGACTTATGTAGACTCAGAAAATATTTTGACTATGCACTCATGCATTCATATTCTAGAGCTGCAGTTTGTGGGTCAAACAGACAATATACAGTCATGCAAGTTTGTTCAGACCATGGAACAGCGGTTACAGAGAGCATTCCAGGATGCTGAAAGGAAGGTCTTAAACACCAGCAACAACTTAACAGTTCAGGTATAATACCAGTGTCTTTGCCAGTATGTATTGTCAGACTAACAGGATTATTGCTTGCTGCTGAAATTGCTGATGTAGATTTATAGCTATGGACAGGGGTTACATTTGTGTTGGGAGAGACACCTTTCTTGAGCACTTCCAACCAGAACAATCTTTCTCCTCCTTCACCAGCATGAATGGCTGTACACTCCTCCCACGTGATGAAGGTGAGTATCCCACAGCCCTCGACTCTCCCTTCAAGGAAGGGAGGAGGGAGAGCACAGGCTCCCTAAGAGCCCACTCTGGGCGAGCTGTCAAGGAGCCCTGGGGGGACGCTGCTGCCAGTGCAAATCCTGACTGCCGCTGAACAGACCCAGGTCACCGTAGGTCTATGCAAGGTGGGGAAAGGAGTGAGGGGGGCATTTCCTTGCAGCTGGATCTATCCAGGGTGTCCCTGGGATATGTCAAGCTATCAGGGCCACCAATCAGCTGATCAGTGGGACAAGGGAAGCATTCCTCACTGTTGGAACCATCAAGGGGCCCCAGGATATTTCCAGGCACTGCACATCTGCTTCCCCCACCCTCAGTCCAGTGCTGGAGTTGAATGCCCCTGTGTTAATGTCAACCCCATACATCTGATAGTCACTGTGGAGATATGTTTATATCTTCATATGCAGTTATGTTGTTTTATATGCATCTTATGGATCCACCTTAGTACCACAAGAAAAAAAATGAATTAAAGTGGCATGGGAAGTTATTATTACTACTTCCTGAAATTGAAACTTTACCATATTTTAAGTTAGCCTAATATATACAATATTTTTAAAAATATTGATATTTACTATATGTGTGTTCCAAAAACCCCTATTTAGGTAATGGAAAGTTAAGATGTTTAACCCTAATTATTTCTTTCTTAGAATAGTAAAACATATCATTTCAACACTCTTAACTAAGACTGATATTTCAGATCACTCGATTTCATTAGGACTGTTTATGATGCACATTTGTAAATCTAAATTGGGCACTGTGAGCTCAGTCCTGCAAAGATTGAGGAAACATATGGGGAAACACAGTACTTCTGTGCAATTCACTAAAATAAAAAAGTTGGTCATGTAAGTGAGTTGTTTCAGAGCCCATGTTAGTGATTCATAGATTGTAAGGCTGGAAGGGACATAGGAAGATCGTTGGGTCCAGCCCCCTGCACCAAGCAGGAAAGATATATGGGCATGTCTACACATGCATTAATGTGCCACAATTATGACACTTTTAGATTAGTACTGGGAATAACAGGTACTAATTTAATGCACTGTAATCGGTACTACTGCGCAGTAGTGCTGGCGCAAGTTTTTTACACAACACTAATGCACAGTAGACTAATTCTACTGCGCATTAGCACAGTTGTTGCGATGATGCGCTAGTGAGCAATAGAATTAGTCTACTGTGTTTCTAGGGTCTCATGTAGACATGCCCTGTGTGTACTAAATATTCTCTTTATTGATTCAGTGAGGTTTTTTAACTATTTAGATTACCAAGAGGAGATAATCAGAGGAAACTGGTTACTTGAGTGACTCTACTGAGCTATGTTTTTGTGTTTTGACTCTAAAAAACTTTGGCCTAAAACCCAGGCAATTACATGATTTATGTGACTAGGTATAAAGCAGAGAGGTAGTTAGCTGTGTTAGTCTGAAGTCAGGCAGAAGGAAGAGTAGATCTGTACTTCATAGACTAACTAAATATTTATCATGCCTTTTAGCAAACTTTTGCTATCTTTGGTATATATATGGGGTAGGTTTGCACTTCATAGACTAACTAAATATTTATTATGCCAAATAGACATAATGAATATTTAGTTAGTTAATGAGGTCCAAACCTACTCTGCCTTCTGCTTATATATAAAGCAAATACATAAAACAGTAAAGTGGACTGTTTTCTCTTTTATTCCTCAAGAATCTCTTAGTTTTGGATCAGGGTATGGCCTGTGGCAAAGTGGAAGAGGGAGACAAGATACAAGGAAAGTTCTCTTGTCATCCACTCCCTTCCCTAAGCAGATAACTCATAACTTCAGAGTAACATGGCACTATCCCAAGTTTTTCATTCCAAACCTGAATATTGGCAGTCTCAACTGATATCGCAAAGATCTTTATAAAAGAAAATTGTTTCTCCTTAGTCACTGGGGTCAGGTTGCTCAGAAAGATTACTTCCCTCCCTGCCTTAGCTCTACTGCTTCTCTGCTTCTGCTTAGGGGCTTATCCAAATCCCAGTGAATATAATGAGAAGTGGGCATTGAATCAGACACTGAAGAGAGAGAGGCTCAGAGTTGAGGTGGCAAGGATAGCTGACAGGACACTGAACTAGTCAGTGAAATCAGAGAACTGGGAGAAACCATAGAAACAGGGTCCAAATCTACCTCACTGGATATAAAAAGGAGTGATAACCCTTGAGGAAGCCATGGGCCACATGTGTCTGGTCTGTTATGATATACCACGCTAAGCAGCGAGTTAAAAACATCCCCAAACGCATAATTTTGGCAGTAACATTTCCCTATTTGGTTATTTGCATTGATTATATACATCTGTGAACCAACGAGCTGAAATTGAACTGCATGATATTTCTTTACTTTTGTTTCAGATTTTGAACACATCAAATATTTCCCAGGGTGTCACTTTATTTTATGTGGTGAGCAATCAAAGCACAACTCTTAATGGCACGGTTTCCAGCAACCTGCTTAATCAGCTCTCAGCTGAACTGGTGGGATTCTATCTTACCTACCCACCTCTGACTATTGCCGAATGTAAGTAAGCAATTTCGATCACAGCTGGTTGTGATTGGTTAACATTACTTGAGAAACTTTAATAAACTTCCTATGTAAAACCCAAGGGTTTTAGCTTTGTACTTGCCTCAGAATGTTGCTTTACATGTAACAAGTGGAAATTTAAAATATACATATTTTTTCTTACTCCTTTCAGTTTTACCTGCTAAAAGGACACCTACCCTGATCTCTCTGCATGCTGGTAAATAATTAAGAATACATATGCACAGACATGCCTCCCTAACAGCAAAACACTGGTAGATTCCATTCCACTGTAAAGCTACATTTTTGTTAAGAAGGCATAACAAAACCTTTCCATTCATCAACTCCAGGAAACACTATAACCTGTAAACCTTAGCCTCAACCCATAGGTTGATCTTGCACCTTTCTATCAATGGGAGTTTGGATTTTAATTTCACTGGAAGCAGAATTAGGCCCCAACACTTGTTCAGACAGATGTTCTTTGTAGCATGCTTTGAATATACACAGAATCAGGGGGGTTGAAAAACTGTTGAGTGGGGAATGGGTAGAGGCCCTTAAAATGAAGATGCAAAAAATGTATTTTTCAATCTGTTCTGGAAAAAAAATCTCAGTGGTACATGTTTTTGAACCTTAGACCCTGTTCTACAGGATGTTTTTTAAAATTGTGAATGTGGTGCACAACACATTTTTCACTGCACATTATGCAGTCTTTTCTTTCCACTAGCTTTGAGGAGTCAAAGGTGCTATGAATCAGAAAAAGTTATGCCTATCAGCAGAATGTAGAGAGCAGATTCTCTGAGCCACTTAGCATGCCGATTTCCATAAAATGAGTGAAGACACATGGATATTGGCTATGGGGATTTAGTTTGATCAGTTGAATTCAGCCTGTGAAATTAGACTTTGTATAAATATAAGTTATCTATTCACTGTGAAAGATCAGTGCTTACTGTAAGAGAAAGGAGACAAAGATACATGAGCTCCATCTAACATGTAATAATAGTCTTGAGTTAAATGAGCACAGGCTCCAATTAATCTTACAATGCACAAGTCTTCATGATACAACTTAAGTATAAAAGAGTATGTTCAAATAACAGTGAAGATCCAGATTAAACCACAGTAGCCATGACATTCATTGATAAGACTAAATATCACCTTTGGTCCAGTCTGTCAAACTTAATAATTTCATGGATTGCAGTTTGTAATGTTTCGGTCCACACATGTTGCTGTTACTAGACTGATTAGGGTAGAGGTAAGCAGTAAACTGGATTATTTGGGTTAGTTTAAAATGAAGTCCTGAGATAATTTAATATATTTCCTATTCCAAAAAAATATGTGATCACATGGTGAAGGAAATGCAGAACTGCCCTTTTGGCTGTTCTTTCTTTCTTGCCAAAAACTCCAGGGGGTTTCAGATCCCATAGCGCCCCTCCCCCCCCGCAACACACACAGACACACACATACTTACTCTCACTCACAGAGATGATCAGTTACTCCAGTGGGGGCCAACGTTTTTGGCAGGTATGCCACAAATTAGCCCTGCACCTTCCCTGGTACCACTCTTCTCCCTTCCCCTTACCTAATCTGTTGCTTTGCTTTCTGCTCTCTGCCATATGCCCCCTGCTTGATCTGATGCTCTGCTCTCTGCTCCCTCTCCTATCTGTCCCTGTGCTGCCTTTCCCCTCCCACATACAGGCTGCTTGTGCCACTTGTGGCTGGCATACCACAGGTTGGCCACCCCTAAGTTACTTGCATAGATAATTGCATTTTGCTTACCTCTTTGAGTAACTTCTCACCCAATATTTTGCTCAGGGCAGGAAATAACGTTTAACCCCTGATAATTATGAAAATTCTTGTTGAATAATCATCAGCCACTTGTTGCTTGGATTCAGAAACTGTATATTTTCTGAGAAATAACCAGACCATGACTGAGCAAATCACGCATCTACAACCAACCATCCTGCAGGGTGTTTAATGGTTGAAACTATAAAATTTTGCATAACTAACAGTGCTGATTGCCTCTGTGCTGAGCCTAGCTGCTGTAGCATGTGCTCAACCCAGGGTGGTCTAGATGCCCCCTGGTGGCCACTTAGCGCTTGCTGGCTTAGCTCCCTTTGGGGCTCTCTCCCCTTTACTTATCCTCCACACCTTGATGTTACTAATTTCTGATGAAAGGGAGGCTGCCCCAGGGCTTCCCAAGCCTCATCTTACTCTTATGATCATAGGTGCCTGTGGTCATTGCCTTAAGGGCTAATTTCTTGGGCTCCATCCTTCCCAATACCCACTCCCATGCCTTGCAGGTGATCTGCTGATATTTGACCTTCCTGGGCTATGGGCTCCCAGCCCCAGTCCTTGCCCCTCCTGTGCTATGGACTCCTTGGCCCTTTCTGTCTTCAGCAGTGACCCTTAGTCTTTGGCCCATCTCTGGGCCCTGTTCCTGCTCCTAGGCCAGTCATGATCTCTGGGCTCTCAGACCTGGCAGTCTCTGGCACTGGTCCCTGACCTCTGGCTCATCTCTAGGTCCTGGTCCCACTCCTGGATCTGTGAGACCTTTGGTTGCCCTAAGCCCTGCTGATGCTCACCCCTCTTGGTGATGCAGATCTCTGGGCTCTCTAGTTCTGCTGACACATGTCCCTCTGTGGCTTATGGGCTCTCAGCCCCAGACCTCACCCCTTCAGCACTATGAGCTCTGTGGCCCTCTAGGTCTCTGGCTGTGACCCCTGGTCTTTGGTCTCTCTCTGGGAGCATGACTGGTACATGGGGCAGCCACGTCTGCTGCCCTATGTAAAAGCAGCCTAGGAGCAGTCATGCCAAGGAGCTCTGGAAAGCATTTCTCACTGAGGCAGAATTCCTACCAGAGCTCCTCATGGGGTAATGCAGTCCTACAGTGCTCTCAGTGCAGACTGTGCCTAATAGTCAGGATAGAGCTTTTAGCCAGTGGTCCTTTAACATGTAATGGCTTGTGCTTTGGAACTGTAGGTCCTGGTTTTTTA